TAGGGAAACCACATACAGGTTTCTCTTTAAACCCTAGATCACATCAGGACTCATGAGACCACATTAACGCAATAAAGCCTCAATGCCTTCCTTTTTAGCACCCTGCTAGCTTTAAAGTTTAAAAAAAAAAAAATCAAATGCATAGGCTTAAAGTAAGCAGATGGCTGCCAAATACATCTGAACCCAATGTTCCTTTTGAATAGCCTGCTTTCTTCAGCACAGCACATGTCCGTCTGGCACTAGAAAACATTGCACTAGGAGGTTTGCTGAATAATTCATTTCCCAGTTCCACTTAAATGCTCATAGCCTTGCCTCAAAATACTGAGGTTAACTCCTACACTAACATTTTTTCACAGACTAAGTGATAATGTTTCTTAGAAAAAGCATATACACATATGGCACTGCCCAGAACATAAGAAGTCACAACTCAAAGCGTTTCCCATTAATTCAGCAGCAAGATGAAGAAAGATTCAGAAAATGGAGGAATTAGCAACAACAGCTTGCAAAATAAGAAGGCTTTCATGGTCAGGAAGATTCTGGTTCACAAACAGAAAGGTTATTCCAAGCATGAAGATGTTATCAATTAAAAAAGTATCAGGGATGATAGGCACAGAGCAGAACCCTGTAGAAAAAAGAATTATGAAAAATGCCAACCATCAAAACCAGGGACTTAAGTCTGAGACAAAGTGAAATGGATCCAAGTCTTATAACGATGAGGTCGGAACAATAACGCTGCCTTAAGTGACAGCATCATGGATAAATGAGGGTGACAGGTGAATGCAGAACACCCAAGAAGCTAAAGTTACTGTAATCAAGGCAAAAGATAAACAAAATATGATTATTATGGAGGTCAGTTTTCCAATATTTCATATTATATTTTATATGCATATATACACACACAAACATACGTATGCATAAAAAAACCCACATATTTTATATGTTGTATATTTCTTCTCCGAAAGAACCCAACATGGTAAGAGAGCCGAATGCTTGGCTGGGACAACAGCTTTTAAAGTTGATCCTGAAGAGACAGCAAAAACTCAAGGGTTGTCCTCATCCCTTCACAGATAATCTGCTTGATAAAGGATGTGGCAATTTTGATGCAACATCAAAACACCAGTTAAGATCAGTCAACATGATGTTTCCAGTAGGGACACAAAAGCTGGGTTTCACAGGAAGGTAATACCTTCTCCCACCTCACCATAGCACATTTGACAACGCAGAATCATATCCAGGCTCTGAAGAGGCAGGCAAGAGGTTGAATCAAAAAGACCAACAACTCTACCTGATGTAGCATCACCAAAGAATTTATGGAAAGAGCTTAGGGCAAAAGGTTGCAGTTGCTAGAAAGAACAGTTAACTCCTGCAGACAAGAACTGGAAATACCTACTTTGCATTCGTGTAACACATGAGGAGTCAAGTTCAGTTAGGCTAAAGAAAAACCTTATCAACCATGAAAATATCTTCCACACATGAATAAAGTGCCAAGTTGTTAGGTAACTTCCAAATTTTCTTCTTTCCTCCTTTAACTTCCTTTTGTACCTGCCAATATTTGTGGACACCACACGTCCCCATGCCATACTCCCTCTACCCCCAAAAAGGGCACAGACTGGGTAACTGGTCCTGTTGTTAATGGCACGCACCTGTTTGTG